ACTTTCAAAGAAATCCCTAAAGAAACAACCGTTTGGAACACAAACTTTTATTTTGCTTAATAAAAAGAATCGCCAAATAGCCATTTCCGTTTGTACGATATCTTTTGAAAATTCCTTTCGACTCACCGTGGAATTCCAGTTCTATTTTCGATTTCCAACCGTGAAAGGGCGAAATTTCTTCACAAAAGAGCGGGGAATAAGAAAAGAAGAGAGACAGAAGGATATGGTTGAAAGAGGAAGGACGTCGAGAGGAAGGCAAGGAAGCAGTTAAAGACAGGGAGGGGAAGAGAGTAGTGCGAACCACTTGGCTCCATTCAAAGGGGGAATCACTGCCGCCGAGTCTGTGGGATACGGTGATGAGGTTATTCCGTCCTCCTTCCCTCAGGAAGTGACGTCACATCTCGACGTAATAAACACAAATATAAGTGGTTCCTGTGCTGTGTTCCGACGGCAAAGTAACGTAGGCCGACATGATCGAATCGCGTACACGTCGGAAGAGGAAATTTGGAGAGGGTGTCGGCGCACTTGCTGCTTAAACGAGTAAATTACCGACGACGTTTGCCTTCCAGCGCCTTCCTTGCAGACCCCGCAACACCGAACGATCGAATTTCGTCTTCTTAACTTCGATCGATGCGAAACCGACGTGTCTACGTGATCAATTAAAGAAAGAATTACCTGGACTATTATTTCTCTCTGGTTCTATAATAAATTGCATTCGTAATATCATCGCCAGGGTAAATGACTGCTCCCATACGATTCCTTTTAATATTTCCTTATAACTTCGTAACGGAACGTTTATAGCTGACCTTTACGCACAGCATTCGTTTCTTATTTTTATCTACGGAATAAACCCTCGCACTTTGTTATGAAAAGCCTGGGACTCTATATAATGAGAGGATGAATAAAATACAGAAGGTCATTAATAATGCGCTTAAGCTGCTTCTGGCAAAAATAACCGGTTCGATTATTCATACATTACGAGGAATAAAAATCGCGCGAATAATTAGGTTTAACCCTTTCGCCTAATTTTATCATTTAAAATAATATTCTGTCGCATTTGAAGCGTTGGTGAAATTTAGAAAAATGAAATTTTTAATCCCCGTCGTTTCGGTTGACCCACCATTCAAAGGTTAATTCGTGCCGTTGAAAGAATTTCCAGGAAAGACATTACCAAATGACCAGCGGCACATGCTCGACGATAATTTTCATCGCGAGCACGTTGGAAAGTCGTTCACGGTGCAGCTCCTTGGACCGCGAGACATCTTGAGTATCGTAGCCCGATTTCACGCGGGAACAATGCCGAGGCCACTTTCTTCCACTCTGCGTCTTTCTCTTACGTTCCCTTTCTTTCTCTATTAAGTCGGCTCCGTGAAAACGCAGACTAATTTCTCGTCTCGTCCCTCTGCGACGATGGTGAAGAGGTCCACGGCGGAGTGGCCCGCAACGGAGGGTTACGAGTCAGAAGGTTGAAAAGGCATCCGTACAAAGAGCAGAGGAGTGTGCAACAATTATAAACACCGTGGCAATTACGCTAGCTTGGGTGCGTGCACTTTCTTCTACCTCTCTTTCTCACCCCTCCTCGTCCTCCTCCTACTTCTTCATGTGAATTGCGCCAGCCACGGAAGAAAATCATAGCCTCTTCAACGTTACCACAGCCACCACCGCCGGATGAACCAACCCCAGGCTGCTTTCACTTCTACCACCTTTTACTCGCTTGTAATTGAGCTGGAATCATACAACGACGAGAAGGAACTCGGGTAGAAACGAGTGGCTACTTGGACGCGTCACGTGTGGGATCTCGAGATGTTTTCCATTCTATTATACAGCGCCAACCACACACAGCCTGACGGATATGTTCGAGCGGCGTTACGCTTGAAGTTTAACCCTTCCGCTACCGACCGCCCATACGTACGCTCTTCAAAGATGGGCAATCGTTTAAGAAAAGCGTAGGTATTTATAATTCTACGACGAAATCACTTAAGTCATATTTTCAAACAATATTGATTTATTCCTTCCTTCGAAGAGTTTCAATTCAATTCATCGAACCTTGTATTGTTTCCACTTCTGAAGTGTAATATTAAAACTTGATTTTTCCAATAAACAATGAAATTTAATAAAATCTCTTCGCGTTTCATTTTGACTCCCCGTTGGCAATTTTGCTGGGTGGTAACCAAACCACGTTCACGTTGGCTGGTTCATTCATGATGGACTAACAAAATATTTTGAATAACCTTTTTTACAAAGCGAAACAACATTTTTTTTTTTTGAGCTTCATGCACGCACGTTCGCCGGTATTTTAAAAGCCAACGCGGATCCTCGGATAGAGATGGATCACCGGATGCGGATAATCGTGTTCTGAGTTGATGTGCAAGTTAATGGACGAACCAGGGAAAACAAAACGTGCGACACCAAAACAAATCGGCGCTCGATCCCTCGGGCTTTGTGAAGCAAAGAGTATGTATTGATGCCGACCAATCGAAATTTCAATGGATATACATACTGTTTTTTTTTTTTTTTTTTTTTTTTTTTTTTTTTTTTTTTATATGGTACGACGTAAACTCGTATATCAGTGTACTGATTCAGTCTAGCCATTTATGAACACCATCTAGCACAGCCCTTTGATTTATTCTTTTTTTAAACTAGTTTGTTTGAAATACTAGCATGTTGCACTTAGTGAAAAAAATGTAAACCATCATTTGTCGATGATTTATTCTTCCTTTCAGTTTTCCTATTGTGATACACTTTTGAAGAAATGTCATTCGTTCGAGCATCGATATTCTAGCCTGCGTTTCAACTTTTCCAAAGGAAACATAGAAAATGGAAATATTAGCAGCGCTCAGTGGCATAAAGAGATTTGTGCATTCTCGTTTCCAAACGGATTCCTCTTCAAACTTCACAAAGACGAAGAACTTTCGTTGTAACCAACTACTTCTTGCCGTTGTTTTATTCAAAAGTTATTTAGGAAGAAACCGAGTATCAAAGCAATACTGCAATGAAATATTTAAGCAAACGGAACTTCAAGCTTTGCTTAAATTGCTTTAACGATTTCGCGATAACACTTTGTATATTTGATGTAAATAATTAATATCAATGACATTTATTCTTTATAAAAATAATCTGAAATATTTTGAAAGATAAATTTCATTCCTGCAGTGAAAAGAAGGAAATACTTTAACGATATTCAAAGCTAAGATCAAAACGTTATAAACGGGGAAAAACGAGAAGAAAATTTCAAAAATTCCTCAACAGCGGAAAATGCAAAAGAGCAACGTTTAATAACACCACTTTCCCGTTTTTGCATCTAGAACACTGCGTTAATACGGTCTCTCGTATTTTCTTTTTTCCCAGAGACTCCATCTTGCGTCTTCATCTCGTTTCCTTTCTACCCCGTCACGGGAAAAAGATCCGAGCGTATTTCTCATATTTTATTCCTGCTACCTCGCCGCTTTTTATTGCGGTTCGACTCAGACTGCGCACCCCGCAGTTTCAACCGTGGCTCTCTGTAGCCTTTGAAGAGTCCTCGGGAAAAAAAGAACTGGCAGGATTACCAGAACCGAAAGAAATGCAAGGAAAATTCGCACATCGCGGCGGAAATAATGACGGACGAGCCATTTTATTTGTTCCGTACCGTGTCCGGTCCCGTTTCGGTCGTTAAAGGAAGCTCAGAGTCGCGTGAAGGATTTACGAGAACACAAAGGATCAGGAGTTCCTTCCTTTTTTATTTTAAACATATATCCCGATTTTGTTGCCCCTTGGAACCGCGCGTTTTTCCTCCGCGTGAGACTCCTGTTTCCTTTGAATTTTTCAGCAAATTGTGGAATACGAGGTAAGAAAGTTTTCCCGTAATTTCATTTCTTAACGCGATAACGCGTTACCTGTTTGTGATTTTAACGATTAACTTCTTACACTATTACCCTTCCCTTTGCCTTTATCCGTTCTGTTAGATATTAATTGTAATTTGAAAATTATTATTATATCAATCATTACTATGCATAGGAATTCATTATCTGTACTGTCAGATACTCTATGATTTATCTAATTAGAAATATTATTTAAATCATTTAACAAAAGAGAAACAAAGATATCATCTTGAAGATATTAACTAATTGTAAAAGTCTCCAAGTAGTTGAAGTTATTAATAGCAAAGCTATTACTGTCTACCGATTTCCTTTGGCAAAGCTCGAAGAAGCTAATGGAGACTGTCGTCGTCCTGAAAATACAATTTTCAGACAATCTGGTTTCCTAGCGGACGGACAGCAATCAAGCACCACTTAAGCCCTCGTCGTTCGTTTTATGATCCCGCAACAAGTACACCGGAGACTAGGAAATTAAACGGCCTCTGAAAATGTCTGCAACTACCGCGTTTATGGTGTATTTATCTGCACTTGGACCCTTTCGAACTCTCAAACTTTCGCGTATTCGAAAAAAAATTTATTAAACCGCGATATGAATCGCCGATACCTTAACAAAATATTTTTTTTTATGGGATAATAAACGAATGGGTCCCATGGTATCCCTTTAATTAGCCTCTAATTAGGGATGCACAAAAGTTTTCATAGTTTTTGTTACGTTATTTTTCTGGAATTTACGTGTCGATTTTAATTACAGCTACTTTCATTAAGGATTTAACACCGCACTAGTATCAGTGCACCTCCGGATCCTTGATGAAGCTACTGCAATGTTGGTCAAACATTGGGAACATTTTGCTCCTGGACACGGCTAGCACGCGAAAGCCTCAAACAGCATTAACCGTAAGCTCAAACAGCATTAACTATAATATCATTTACAAATACGATACACAGGCTAAACCTATTAGAGTAGTGAAATCCATTCGAGCGATTTTCATTATGAATCAAACAAACTTCTGTTCGATGAAATTATACAGTAAATTTTATCAAAAATAAAATCTTCAAAAAATATCCTCTACGTTTCTGTAGAAAATTGATCTTTTTTTTTTAAAAGCAAGTTTTTTGTTTGATGAAGTCATTGGATCGAAAAGATTTATTCAGTACCGTGTATCTGATGGACGTAGTCTGAACAAGAGCAACAGCGGTCGAGACCGGTACATGGCTTTCATCAATGAAATCAAGTTAGTAGTATCTAGAGAGGTTTCCGGAGAGACAGGAAGGTGTAATGAGAGTAGTTTAGTGCTTAATCGGGGTTTCTCGAGCGGCCTCTCAAACTACTCCAATTAACTTCGCGCCAAGCCCGATTGCCGGTAGATTCAAGGGTAAATCCGCATGATATTGATTAAATTTAGAATGGGCCACGAAGGAAGCGAGCTAAAGTTTTCTTTAATACGGCTACCCGAACTGTCGTTTGGATAATTAATCAGTGCAACGTCAGCGTAGGGCAAACTTCGGCTTGATTTAATGCGGAGTCTGCGGTTTAAACAGCCTCAATGAACGGAAGTGGATTAATCGTTGTATTAAAGTTAAAACTATCGCGCAAGAATTTTAATGAATATACGAAGTGTATTGTTCGTAGAACGAAACCACGAAACTTTCATTTAACTTTCAAATATTATCTACTAGATAATATGTAAAAAAAATGTCACTTTTCATTAATTTTCTTAACTTCTCAAAAATTTTCAAATAAGATACGTACCCCTTGGAACCAACCTCTACCCTTCTTTTCAATTTAGACAAAATCAGTATAATAAAAAGAAAGTGAAATGCAAAATTCTTCGTGGAATGTATCATAAATATAAACGCTCCTAAGAAATCTTATACATAATTCATAATCCTATCTACAATCTACGTTACCATTCAGGGTTTTAGCTGACATAGATGCTCACAAACGCTTTCACTATTATTCACCCCTTGCATCCCTCTGTTCTCCTCTTTCATATCAGATCTACGCGATGTACAATACCGAGCATGATGAGTTTCCCTAAGGAAAAAGAAACATTTGCTATCTATTTTAAATTAGAAAATTTTCAAAACATTATATATGACCGATTAAATTCAAATTAGCAATAATTAATTATTTTACCTATCGATAGAAACTAGTCACAGATGTTGTCTCCTGACATAGGTGGGCACTTCTTCGCATTCGATCTTATAACTACCGAATGGTTTGTTGTTGTGTATATTGTTCACGGCCATGTGGGCGTAGATGCGAGGGTTTCGTGCCCCGAGCACGTATCGGCCGTATCGAGATAGGACCAGGGCTAAAACAGGATTGGGCGGTGGATGTAGCTCGCTGTTGTAACTATCATCGTTTAGAACCCCGCTCAGGAAGTGATCGAGGGCTTTGATGACCGTCGTTATGTCTTGCGAATTACGATGGGGATTCGTCGTCTGAGCCTTCCCACGATACGCCAATCCTGCATGATCCGAATCGTCTGTTAGGTATTCATCGTGCTCTTCCACGACTCTATACGAGGACGATCGTTCGGGAACGTGGGGATGATGTTTCACCTCGGCTCGCAGCCTCGATGAACTATTCACTGATGTCTCGACTTTTCCCGTTGGTACTATATGATGGCTGAACTGTACTTCCTTTGGTGATCTTGAAATGCAAATTTGAAACATGTTATTAAAGATCAATCTCACGTGATGTACAGTACCCAGCATGGTAGGCTTTTCCAGGAGCCGTACAAAAATTTTATTTAATATTTATTTTATTTATAAAGTCTTCTTCAGATTTTACTGCGTGCAAAATTTAAATGCAAATCGCATGCTCTTTTCCCTTTATTAGTGATGCTACACGAATCGTTTATAATCCTTCATTTTGTGCCAATTGCATAGGATTATAGCAGAGTCTTTCTATCTTAACGAAAAGAATAATTTGTTCCACTCGATTTAGTCTCTTTGCACAACATTTAGTTGGACGTGAAATAAGTTCATTTCAATGACATAAAAGACATTCGACTGAAAGGGACAATGCAACAGTCTCTCCTCTTTCCAACTTTCCGCGTCCTACTTCTTTTGACCAGGGACAGCATTCAGTCATCGAGAAAAATATAATTGCAAATTGCCTATGATGCTGGAAACATCTTTTTTTTCATCCTTTATCAAAAATAAATATTTGGAATTGATTAAAATAGAATAAATAGATATAAATTGATATAACCAGCAGCCTATCATAATAGTAGTACTGTAATGTAATATAGCATATCTATAATGATATAAATATTACAGTAATAAATTTGATGTATTATCCTTCAACAAAGCTTCAACATCTCAAACAAGAAACATGAATTCCTACCTTTGCTTATCGATGATTGATTTAATCCTTTGATCTTTGGACGGTAACTTGAGGTCGATCAATAGTGGTTTCAGGTATGAATACCCAGCTTGTGTTTGTCTTTCGGCAAAGCCTCTACCTGGGATGCCAACATCTTCTAAGCCATTATCCAAAGCACGGTTGGCGAAAACAGCGTGTTGCGAAAGTTTTGGAAACACGGTGTTCGTAGTTGGTAGGTAACTAAGGGGTGGAGACTGTAAACTGGTCGCTGGTTGGAAATCCTTGGGCACTTCTGTTGTCAATATACCACTGACCGAGCAGACAAACGTTACCTGAATTAAATAATTTTCATGGTCAAGTTACAGGAAGTCTAATTTTAATCTACAGGGTGTCCCATGCAACTGGGACCTCCCGTTTCGAATATATTGAATGTGATCGAATATCATATTGCTATATATCATTTGAAGCGTATTTTAATTCTCTATTAAAAAGTATTAATATACTTGGGTCGAAAATTCATCGATTCAAAAGATATCTTAGGGAGAGACAGGGAGAACCTAGCGGTCTCTCCCTAAGATATCTTTTGAACTAATTAATTTTCGACCCTAGTACCTCAATCCTTTTTTATAGAGAATTAAAAAGCGCTTCCAATAATATGTAGCAAGGTACATAATTCCAATAAAATTGTTTAAATTGGAATTGTTCATTACAAATATTTATTAACGTAAAAAATAAATGGTCTTCAATGTATACGTAAAAATAATAAAATAAGAACACACTTTACCAACTGCAAAGTAATGATGTCGTCGAGGTAGACCAACATTCTGGAGGGTTTTTGAAATAACTAAAACGACAGCACGCGCATCGAGTTCTTTTTATACCCTGTAACATTGCCTGCCCTAAGAGCGAAGTCTTGTCAGTGGCAGGAAATGTGTACAATGTGTAAGTACCTATTTATCTACATACTGAAAGATTTCTTTGCTTTCTCTTTTTTGTCATGTCTTTTTATTTCGAAATCTTTGCTCACGTTTTATTGTGACTTTGTAAGTCCAAGTTTTTCTCAATTGGATATTGTTGTAATGGACGTTATTGTTTAAAAGTATTACGATATTTCAGGTGTATGATGAAAGGTCTAAAATTTTACGTAGACGATGAAGTTTCACTTTTATTCCCTAATTATCGTTACGAGTGAATTTTATTTTCATATTATGTAAAATTGTACTTGTTTATCCTGTAATTTTCGACGTTAATAGCATACATTCAATAATGGCATTAAAATACTAAAAATAAAAAAATTACATTCATATTATAAGCTGGGATGTTTTCATCTCTGCGTTCTCTGAAAATGGTACTGCCAGCGCCCTTTAGCGGTGGCATGTTTAATCGAAACGCTCAGGCACAGGGATTCCCCGGTATAAGTTCTGGCAAGAACTTCATTTGGAAATCAATTTTTGAGTCTATAAAATGCAATTTTCGTCAATTATTTATGATGACATTACTCGACCTTTATTGAGATCATAAAATGTTCTATTTGCACCACAGAAATATCAAAATTGCTTATTTCTTGTGGAAGGTATCCTCACCATTCACGAGACATTCCAGCCAGCAGGAATTATGCCTAATTCACAGGGGACACAATTGCTCTAGGGTTGCTTTTCACATGTGCATATTGATATGTTACGTTATTTAGGAACTGTATACATAAAAGAAAATATATTAATGTTTCTTTTTTAATTGATAAAATGTATTGTCGATATTCTTATAAATATCACTTCAGAAAATGACAATAGCTTATCCAAGCACTTTGTATCCTATTGAGACCAAACATGATACTTGAAAACTCACCGAAAGATAATTCCCGCCAAAAACCTGTTGTGTTGTTTCCCCTGTTGAATGTCGTTATTTAATTGTAGTTTTGTATATATAAATTGAATTCTTTCTTTGTAATTACATGAAAAAATGGATGTGGGAGATGTACCGAATGTTGGTTCACGTGTAGCTGATGAAGTAGGAATCAAATGTCAGAAATTATTCCAAGATTTCCTTGAAGAGTAAGTTCACACTTTATTCAGAGTAAATAATCCATTGTCTGTACCTTTTTTAAATCATGTGTTAATCATATTTTGTGTTTTAATTAGGTTTAAAGAAGATGGAATAGTAAAATATCTTGAGCCAGCTAAAGAGCTTATAAGTCCAGAACATTGTACATTAGTAGTCACTTTTGATGATGTAGAAGAATACAATCAAGTACTTTCAACAACTATTGTTGAAGAGTACTACAGGTGAGAATGGTTTATATTAAATTATTATATTGTAGAATACAATATTTATTATTTACAAGTGGATTCAATTCCCCAGCCTTTAATTTTTTGGTAATGATTCATTTTATTAATATAAAGTGTTACTTACTTTCAGAGTTTATCCATATCTCTGCCAAGCAGTACGTAACTTTGTCAAAGATGTAGCAGAGTCAAGGAAGGATCTAGAATGTTATGTTAGTTTTGTGGAGGTGCCGACTAGACAAAAATTAAGAGAACTAAATTCAGCAAAGTTGGGCACATTAATACGTATATCTGGTCAAGTCATAAGAACACATCCTGTTCATCCAGAATTAGTACTTGGTACATTTGTTTGTATGGACTGCAATGCTGTTATAAAAAATGTGGAACAACAATTTAAAGTAACGTGAAAAGTAAAAACTTGATAGAAACAAATGTTTCTATTAACACAATATATTAATTGTAATTGCATATTAAAATAACCACTTACAGTTCACAAATCCAACAATTTGTCACAATCCGGTATGCAGCAACAGACGACGTTTTCTGTTGGATGTGGATAATTCAATATTTATTGATTTTCAAAAAATTAGAATACAGGAAACACAAGCAGAATTACCAAGAGGCTGTATTCCACGTTCTCTCGAAGTTATTTTACGTGCTGAGTCTGTAGAAACTGTACAAGCCGGTGATAGGTACTTTCAATACAAGGAGTTATGTGTTATTAATTTCACAGATCTCCTAATAAAACTTTTTTCTATATTTTTTAGATACGACTTTACTGGAACTCTCATAGTAATACCAGATGTTGCAGTTCTTTCTCTTCCCGGTGTAAAACCCGATCGGAGAGCAAAAGTTCAAAACCGGGGAGAACAAGGAGACGGTCTAACTGGATTGAAAGCATTAGGAACGCGTGAATTAACGTATAAAACCGCATTTTTAGCTTGTAGCGTTACACCGACAAGCTTCAGGGTACGATAAATTACTAATGTAATTGAAAACGGTAATTGGAAATGTATGATTTAATACTCAACATTTTTATAGTTTGGTGGTACTGAGACAAACATGGAAGAGATCTCCCAAGAAATGATGAAGAAACGGATGACGGAAGCAGAATGGAATCGTATATACGAGATGAGCCGTGACAAAAATTTGTATCAAAATCTTGTTAACAGCTTATTTTCTTCGATACACGGTAACGACGAGGTCAAGAAAGGAATCACTTTAATGTTGTTTGGTGGAGTTCCTAAAACAACAATAGAGAATACCTCGTTACGAGGAGATATAAATTGCTGTATCGTTGGTGACCCTAGTACAGCAAAATCTCAGTTATTGAAAAGCGTTACCGAGATCACACCAAGAGCAATTTATACATCTGGAAAAGCATCTTCTGCGGCTGGGTTAACCGCGGCTGTAGTGAGAGACGAGGAATCACCTGATTTTGTTATCGAAGCTGGTGCCTTGATGCTTGCCGATCATGGTATCTGTTGCATCGATGAATTTGATAAAATGGATCCCAGGGATCAAGTCGCTATACACGAGGCTATGGAACAGCAAACAATTTCAATAGCCAAGGCTGGTGTAAGAGCGACTTTGAATGCTCGAACATCGATATTGGCGGCCGCGAATCCCATTGGTGGGCGATACGATAGAAAAAAATCTTTGCAACAAAATGTTCAGTTAACAGCTCCTATTATGTCCAGATTTGATTTATTCTTTATCATAGTTGACGAATGTAACGAAATCGTCGATAATGCTATCGCTAAGAGAATCGTTGATCTGCACTGCGATAATTGGCAAGACTTTGAAACAGTATACTCGCAACAAGAGATCGTTAGATATATTAATTTCGCCAAGCATTTTAAACCTGTACTAAGTCACGAAGCTTCAGACTATTTAGTTGATAGCTATACGACTCTTAGGCAAAGGACTGGTAGTGGATCTGGGAAATGGAGAGTCACTGTCCGACAACTTGAAAGTCTTATTCGATTATCAGAAGCTATGGCTAAATTAGAATGTTCGGACGAAGTGATTATAAAACATGTCAAGGAAGCGAAACGTCTGTTAAGTAAAAGTATCGTTACCGTAGAACAGCCTGATATAGATTTGGAAGAGGCAGAAGATGGTCAAGTAGATGGTCAATTGGATGAAGCTCCTCCTGTTATGGCTGCGCTCAATGCAATGGACACTAACAGTGCACCAGTGACCCGTAATTTTTTCATTCTATTTATGTATATTCAAATGATTTTATAAAATGTAATTGTGTTCATTGTTTTCTTCTTTCTACATTTATAGCAACTCCGGAGGTGCAGGCGCATAAAAAGAAATTGACGATGTCCTTTGAAGAATACAAGAATTTATCCAACATGTTGATATTGTACATGAGAAGTGAAGAAACTCGTGCAGAAAGAGAAACCAGTGGTATATTGTTTAAAAAAAATAATAAATAAAGCTAATGTATGTGGAATTACTTTGAATTAATATGTAACTTTTTGTACAGAGGAGACAAAAGGTGGATTAAAGAAATCTGAACTAGTGGCGTGGTACCTTGATCAAATACAAGATCAAATAGATTCAGAAGAAGAATTGTTAGAGAGGAAAAACTTCATTGAGAAAATTATTGATAGGCTAACGTATCATGTATGTATTAAAACGCTTCTTCGGTGTCATCGTCACTTCGGTATTCAATTAATTTAAATTCTTTTCCAGGATCAAATTATAATACCTTTGAGCACAGCCGATTGGAGAAGCAAAGATAAAGAAGCAGATGACCCAGTACTTGTTGTACATCCAAATTATATTATCGATGCGTAATTATTTGTACCGTACATTTTACATTGTAATTATATTTTAGAAACGTTAATAGCAGATAGAGGTAAAAATTATAATCGATTAATTTTTCAATTCGTTCCCAGTAAGTTTCTTATAAAATTGAACCGGTTTTTACCTCTAATTGCTATGATTTATTTTTTTAACCATAAACGAACCATGAAGTGCCACTATAATTTTTACAATTTCGTAATTAATAAATATTTATACTGATATGTAGTACGCATTCATTTTATTCTTCACCATTCAAGATCAAGAACCAGTAAGAATGTACCAGTTTAACAATGTATAAATTAGACTTTACCTGTCATAGTCGTTAATCACGTTAACTATCTAGTCTAGTACATTGACGTGTTAACTTATCTGTAGCCTGTTTGTATGTGAAATAACTAAACCAATTCAAGCTACATGATAAAGTAAATTAGTGTACCTAGATATTGCTCTTCTTCTACGAGCAATTACATCCTATCAAAAAGGTGGGCGCAACTCTTTATCAGACTTCATAAGTGGTAGGGGTATTTGCACAGCAGTTAAAAGGGATTACCCGCGAGAAAAAATTACAGTCTCTTACGCGACTTAACAATGAGCGCGAGAGATAGTCTACGAAAATCAACAGGCCAAGTAAGTAAAAAATACAATTTACAGAAAAGATAGAATACAATAACGTATCATAAATCTTTCTTTGTTAAAATTAAATGATTAAATACTTTTATTTATTCAAATTATATTTATAAATGTAGTTCAAACGCAGGAATACTCACGGGTGGCCTGTCTTGGTAACTTTGCCATTTTACAAGATTACTTGGCCGAAAAAGAAAGTTTCATTTGGAATATATTTTACTTACTGGACGTGCTTCTACGAGGTTTCAGTCAAGTAAGATATCAGTTGTTAACATTTACTATTATGACAGTATATTAGAGTTAATTAAAATTAATTTAGGTAGCAAAATACTCCAACTAATATACAGATTTACAGGTAGTACTTACAAATAATCCAATCAGCGGATTATTGGTAGTCATTTCTTTAGGAGTGTCTGCTCCTGGTGAATTAATTTTTTCATCATGCGCTGGCTTTTTAGGTCTGCTGCTTTCAATGGTACGTAATTATGTTAATTTAAGATGTTAAAATGCCAAAGTAAAAAGAATAACTCGAGTGATCGAAACGTCGATATTGGAAAAGTAAACATAAATTTCGAAAGCGTTTCAATGTCTTCTTTTTAGTTTGATCCTACCAGCTAAATCAGCGTTTGTACTTTTCATTCACTCGTTTATTTTTGTTCTCATCTTTTTGCCTTTTTTTGCCATCGCGATCTATCACCTGCCGAGGATACCAAAGTTGGATACCTGCCAAAGTTACTGCAATGCGAAACTCTTTGCAAAAATTTACACGTCCCTCTGTATAGAGAATCCTTTACGTTGATTCATAGATTCATACTGCGTTATCAAGATTGCATGCTTCGATTTCATTTTTAGTTAATACGAGATTCGCAGGATGATATTGCGAACGGTTTAACGGTGTACAATTCGGTGTTAGTTGGTGCTGTTTCCTACGTTTTGATACCGACATTTTATGGAGCCTTTGATACATTTAGTATTCTTATGACGATTCTGGCAGTAATATTCTGGTAAGTTTGATAGATGTAATTGCATAGAATGAAAAATTGATAAAATATAAATTTTCTAAGGGTTGTAAATTGAATTATCAATTTAGTATTATGTAAAAGAAAGAATGAACTTCGAGAGATACGAACGATGGCATATTTCTGTAAATGGTACAAGTAAAAAAGAAATTTTATATGACAAATTGTTATTGCTTTTAGCGTTTATATAAGACGAGCCTTGAGCACCAACAAGTTGCCCTACACAGCATGGCCACTTAATCTGGCCGAATTTACGTTGCTGTTTGTCCTTTATGCGGAAAACAATGGATTTGGCACAATAGAGAAACTACAACCAATCATGGGAATGGTAATGGAATTTGTTGTACGCACTCAAACCCTATACTACCCCAAAGAATTCGAAAAGTTTAATATTACAGTTGTACGAAAATGAAAGAAATTTTGAAAGCGTTTTTCATTGAATTATTATTTGACAATTTGTTGGTAAGAATAATTATTCTTTACTTAGTTTTACTCAAAGTTTTCTCTCCGCCGTGGACGTCAATGGTCGAACTACCCTAGTTTTGAGCATAGGGTTATATGCACTCGACAAAGATATCGCATTCGTATACATACACGTGCTATGTGTGTCGCGTCCATGTACACGATCAGTTGTTTATATTGTGCGTTGTTATTGTTTCTAGGACAATGCAACAAGTGATGCGACGACAGGCAATGTCAGTTTCATTGGAGAAAATGCAACGAGGGCCCATATTGACTGGGGGATGGTAAAGTTTACACGTGTTCTACTTTTCACTATTCGATCATGTTTCACCCGGTTCAAAGTATTAGGAAGGATTTTTCAAAGAAGAATGATAACCATGCCTTCTTTCTTTCTTTTTAAATTCAAGTAAAATAAGGGTAAATATTTCTACTATTTATAAAAGAATTTTTTGTTATAATTTTATAGTTATTATCAGATTTTGGTCAAAGTTAACTCGAAAACTTTAAAGACTATAAAAAGAATTTTTTTAATTATTACACCATAATTTAATTATGTACCACCCCCTTTACACTCTAATGTATAATTTTTTTAATTATCACACCATAATTTATTTGTGTACCACCCTATCTACATTTTACTCTAATCTATGATTTCACTTTAATTTATTAAAATTCAACAATACCTCATAATAATCATTTCACATTTAATTACATCGAACTGACAGTAAATGAACATCAAGTGCCCTAAATGATTCTTGAATACAAAGTGGGATTATCCACCCTCTAGTATCCATCTCTTTGAAAAGTGTTTTCCAATTAATAAAGTGCAACATCAATGTTAATTTATTAATAAACTCACACGATACATCGCACGTGTTGTGCGCCCAATTACTTGTTTAATTTTGCAGGTATTTCACGGGATTATAGTGTCAGCGTCGCAGGTGCTAGTGGTTGAAAGCGTTATCACAGGAACCATCGTCTATTTAGCTGCTCTACTTTTTTCACCGATAACGGCTAGCTTCGCTTTTTTGGGAGCTTTTATCGGTACATTGGCAGGTATCACTATTTTTGTTTATAAAACCTTGAATTTATCGAACGCGAATTCAGGACAATATCTTTTCATATACGAATTTCACCCTTTCAGGTTTGATTCTCGGAGTAGAGATCAATGAAGTGTATTCTGGATTTTGGGGGTATAATGCTTTCTTAACTGGAGCTGCTCTAGGAGGAAATCTTTTAGTAATTAATGGGCAAACAGGTGTAGCTACGATTGTAGCGATTATGTTCACTGTGGTCGTACAGTATTTTCTACTGTTTTTCTTTAGAAATGTAATTACATTTATTTATTACCTTTACTTCTATTTTTACTGGGATAGATTCAAATTATTCATTGCTTTCTTGATAGAAAATAAAAATTTCTTTTTCTCAAATTTAGAACGTCCTAATTCGTTTAAGTTCACGTTTGCATATTACAAAAGTTTAATTTGAGAAAGTAGAATACTCCAGTAAATTAGAATACTGTTAAAGGTTCTTTTTTTAAACGGTCCTTAAAAGTGAATAATTGTATGTGCAGCTGAAAATACCGGTACTATCACTACCGTTCGTCCTGGTGTCCTCTTTATTCTTGAAATTATGCGACAATCCTGGGGATAAAACCTTTCCACGACCACCATCTGCTTCTTTTCCAGAAAAACAACGCCGGGATTACATTGCCACCCAGTGTGTGCTTATTCAGCAAGTACGTACATATTTACTTTATCTCTATACTTATTCTGTCGAGAACTTCTTACCTCACTTTTTATAAATATTTCTAAGCTTAACAGACTATTTTTTGTTAAAAATAATAGGTCATCTGAAAAGTGACAACTTTTCACTTAGATACTTTCCTTAATTTTGGATCACAATTGACCCAGTTTCACCCTTCGAGAATTTACTGGTAATTGATACAACACCATAATAAATAAGTTAATAAAATGAATGTTAAATGTTCAAATATAATTCAGCGTACATTTTGAAAATTTGAATGTTATGGGAAATTTCAAACATATGATCCGTGAAGATCTGTAACGTTACAATCGGTTTTACTTGAAAACAGATTTTATATGTATCCCCAACTGACAACCACGCCCTGAAGGACCGAACAAATTGATTTCTACCCTGCTCGAGCTTGCTTTTATACGAAACCAAGGAATCGTGTATGGTGTGTAGTGTACGTGGTTTCATTTCATCGAAGGTTATCGGTAGAAGCACTCGGCGACACAATTCTGGTTTATTTTATTTGAAACGTCTAAAGAATAGTCTGCACTCGTGCGGATAAAAGGTGTACACACTACACGTTACTATGAAAAGGAACATTTTTTGCAGTTTAAGCGCACAGAAACTCACAAATTCAGAAAAGACTTTTTAATTACGTTCCTCATATTATTAGGAAGCGAATAAAAAAGTTAAAAAATGTTTTGTACAATATTTTAATATCTCTAAATATTTTAATAAAAAGTAATTTGTCTTTAATTTATTATTTTACTCAGTATTAATAATTTTTTCTAGATAATATTATGCAGATATATTTTAAAATATTTATGAACTGGATATTAAATATTACATATTAATTATGAATAGAAATTTAATAATATTGAGTTGCTTTATAAACTTTTGCACGTTTTAGATATTTAAGGTGTCTTTTAAGAACCGCAAGAATTTATGAAATCTATTCTTCTTCAAGTGAAAGATTAAAAATTTAATTTCTTATTTATGTACTTTTTTATAGACAGATGAAGCAGACGAATCCGGAGACGATAAAAATCAAAAGGATTTCTCAGTGCTGAATGTTTAAAAAATCAGATAACGCGTCTGCACTTTTAACTTGTAATTGAAAAGACAAATATTGTGTTCATTACCCAGATAGCACACGATATCTTAAAGACATCAATTTTACGACCATTTTAAATCTGAACGTCTTTCGACCTTACCTGGACGTCTTTACGATGTTTTGTCCCGAACATCGTAAGGACATCTGAAATTCATGTCTTTAAGACGTCTTAAAAACGTACGAAAGGAACGTCGTATCTGAAAATCTGGAATAGATATCTTTAAGACGTTTTAACAATGTCTCTGTGCTATCTGGGTAATATGTATAAAAATTGTATACACCTTTTAATATTTATAATTTCAAATAATAATTAATTATAATCCGAGTATTTGTATATTTTGAACAAAAATTAATTATATGACTGTATTCAAGAATTGCATATGCAATATTGATGTGATATTTGCATTATAACTTTGCATAATTATTTGTATTTAATAATGAAAGTAAATACTAAAACGGAGGCGCAAAATTAATATTTGACAACACAAGCTTAACATCCCTTAGTTTCTCATATTTAATCACCTTTGCTGCAGGTTTATCCTCAAATTCAAATGAAAATCAATGTGTAATATACAAAATTAAACCGAAATTACTTGATTTAATGTAATCTGTTAATAAAATTGATATTTAAAAGTGCATGAGATTTCAAACTCGTAATTATAATAACAAATTACATTTTTACATTTCATACAAAATTCATTTGGCTCCTGAAATAATACAATATCGCGCAAGATAAACTTTCCCAATAATTTAAACGACCTACTTTCTCTAAAGATACTAAACGAGCCGTGATGCATATAAAAATTGGAAAATTCTGTTTTTCATTTGCGTTCACACGCAGCTATTCGATGACGTCAGTGGTAGTTTATAGGTTTGCCGTTCGATAAGAAGAACAAAATGCCTGCGTTGTATCTGGACAACTTGGTTACATTGATTTCTTTTTTTTCATAACCGACTGAGCCCACTCTAAAACTGTCGTCAATCATTCTTCCCTTTTTTTACGTTTATGACATTTGATAATCTTTGTACCATGCTGAAATGGATAATCGTTATTGCTTTTTTCCTATTTAGAAGATTTGCATCGAATAGATATCAATTGGAAAGTATTAATATTATATTATTGACTGCTTACTATATGTCAACTATAAAAATTCCATGAAAATTGCTATAAAAATACTATAAAAATGCTGTAGAAAAATTATTAGGATTACTATTTCCCCAAGATAGCAAGGGAGAAATTTAATTGGAAAAATAAGGCGACAGTGTTCTGAGTAATTGTAATTATAACACGTCTGACTATACATAGTCCTTTCTACTGCGGCAGTCAACGCCATGGCGGTCCAAATCTAATGTAATTAAATAATTAATCCACAAAAAAAGGGGATAATTTTTTATCAAGTATTTTAATTCTTCTTTTTTCAAATCTGAAGTTTCCAGATAGCTGAATTAAATTATTGACACTCCTTAATTAAAACACTTTTTTTCTACATATATGTAGTACTAGAGATTTGAAACGAACGTCGTTTTTCTACAGTATTTTTTCAGAATGAATTGACACGTTCTATAATTAATTTTTTTATTACAAGTGGCATGTGTTTCAAACGACGAACGGACTGACGACGAACCAGATGTCCACTTTTATCGTGCTTTTATACGTTCGCTTTATTTTCTTTTCTGGCACGTCTAATTTTAAACCGATGTGCAAATTTATTAATTCATCCTTTATAAACCTTCTTTTTTCTAAGAAAATATTCGATACAAAGCTCATAATCTCTGATCAAACTTAAATGATGCGAAATTGGATTAAAAGTTTGCGTTATAAACTCTGTGAAACGTCTAATAAAACAGTAGCTTCCTTTTATAGCTTGTCGTATGACTTTAATAACGCAGCAATAACGTTATTTATATCTTCGTAAATCGAGCTGAATATAACGTAGTCATTTATTGCATAAATGTGTTTTAACTAAGGCAGCTTCATCTCTGTCGTTAGGGAATTAAAAAATCGTTAACAATGATCTGTTAAGAAAGGGTATTATAAAGGATCTAAGTTTGAAATGGGCTGACGAAATATGAAATGGAATGCTTGAAATAAAATGACGTTCCTTTTAAGTCTTAGAACATTTTTGTGTACTCTCGTACCTTCATAAAAGAAAGAAAATTCTTGTTAACAAGACAAAAAATAGAAGTGGTCAGAGATTTTTTAGTAGGTCATTCTTCAAGTTGTAAATCCTGACGAGTTGTTTAAGGAATACTATGTCTTGTAAGACAATGAACTATTTTCATCCAAAATAAATAATTCAATTATTTATTAATCTATGAAAAGTTCGTCTTTCTCAGCTGGTAGTTTAGAAATTGCTGTCCATTATTTTTTTATATTTATGAATTCATTTTTTTCTTTAAAATGCTTGTTTTAACGAGGTGACTACCATGTGGGTCACCGCTGACTGACGTCACAAACTCTACACAGATTACTCTATGCAAATGGACCAAGTTATATCTCCAAAATGATAAAAGATAGAACAAAATGTAATGAGGAAAAATTGAATGGTGTCGAACAAAGCTTCACCTGATACATGTGTCGACTCCGGAAATGGAGGAACTCTGAAGATTTCAAGGTCATCTTCACTTTTTTGAACAAAACTATTTGCTTTTCTATACAAAAAAGTAATTCTCTACAAAAAAGTATTAAGGTGCATGGGTCGAAAATTGATTATTTCAAAAGTTATCTTAGGGAGAGACCACGAGGCATTTTTCTTTAGATCATGTTACTTGTTTATATCTTCAAGGAACGTCTATTGACGCATCGTGATGAATATTTGAAAGCACTGCAGAAGAAATGTGAGATAGAGGAAACGAAAACCTTGCTGAAAGGATCCTTGCCTTTCTTATTTTTAATAATCCGTGGTTTCTTATTAATATATGATTATAGTGACGTAGTTAAATTCAAGGTTTACAGCGGAGGATAGTTGTGTGTGGAAAGCTGGGATTAAGTTATAAATAATGAAAATTCCTAGGATTTTCCGGCGTTCAGGTAACCAGCGATGCCTGTCCCTTTTACAAAATTAAAATATACGACCCTATCTTTTTCTTATATTTGCTAGAACTTTGATCAATCCAAACTGTTTTCATACAAGCTTGAAACGAGATATGAAAACAAGAAAAACGTTTCAAATTTTAATATAAACTCATGTGTGCGTATATACAGGATGTAATTTGCAACCATGAAATGAAAAAAGTTATTAACCAAAATGTATTTGTGTCTAGTGGACAATAATATAATGACTTTTGTTCATTAAATTATTCCAAATATTATAGTTAAAAAATCTTAAGGAAAATTAGCATTAACACCCTGTATATTCCTACACTTCACCCTTAGTTTTCATACCTTCATCGCCTTAACGAACCCTCTAAAATCGCAACAGCTTATTTAAATACTGATTGCTCATAAATCTTACATCACAATAAGGGTATACGATCAGCAATCTTGTGAAATTTCCATTTATCGACAAAAATCATGCCATTCTATCTATTCCAGCGAGAGTAGTTTTAACCACCCTCCTGCACCTTTCACAATAGAAGAAAATAATTTTTATAAATCTAAGAAATTCAAAGTATCACTATCAACATACACTTTAGTGAAGGGTGAAACTATGAGTAAAGTTCAATATTCTTTCAATGGTCACCGATATTGGTCCTATGTTATCGCGGAGCGGATGCAAAAAATGATGATACATATAACTCAGTATCATTGTGATTGCGGATACATACGGTAAGGTGAATATCGGCAGGAAGGGAGGTCGTGGAAGTCGGTGGATGCCGGGAGAATGTTGAGGCGAAAAAGAGGGAGTAGAAGCTGGCAAAGTGGAAGTGGCGGTGTAGGAAGGGGTAGGGCTGAACGCACCCCTGCCAGACCGGCCACCTGCCTACCAACCCTGTCTGCTCCACGACGCTTCCCAGTATTCGAGCGATCGCTACAACTCGCGCACGCAAATCCTTCGGCCGGGGATGTGCGTTTATCGCGCCACCGCGTCGACACACATCGTACTACGTAACGTACGAAGTAACGTAGTAGCAGCGTGCCCGTGTCGTGTTCCGGTATTCTGCTGACACGCCACCCTCGAAATTCGACCGATCGCCATGTACGACTCGGATAAACCAGCCTCGTCCGTCCCATTGTAACGTCGCCGGTCCTTCACAGCTATGGATTCGCCGGGAATCACCGTGCGGGTATCCCACGAGTGCCCATGAAGGACGCAACCCCTATCCAATTCTATGGAGCCTCGATAAACCCTCGCCTGCCTTTCGATAATTTTCATCGTCGAGTTTTCATTAAAATTTCGAAAAGATTTGGAAAAGCATAGAAATCGAAATTTCGGACACGAAGTTTCTTCCTCGAGAACTGCAGTTCAACAACACATGCACCCTCGCTTCTGCGACAAGATTTAATGACCTCTCCGCGTTCAACGTGGACGATATTTATCATCGTTCTCAGCAATTTTTATCTACTTCGATAAACAATTTCCACGTCGATGTGATTAAACA